GAAAGAGTAAGTTTTATCATATAATCGTTCAATTACTATCCTATATACTTACGTTTATAACAGTTTTCTTGGATCTAACTGCGTTCAATGGTTATAACGCAATTCGCAAGTACCGACAGTAAGTGCTATTACGTGTCGAGATCCATAGATCCGATATATAAATAATAATCTATCGTTGTTATTTTGTTCAGTAGATCGTTGTGTTTGAACTTGAACATTATTATTCAAGGAAAATCTATATATATATATATATATATATATATATATATATATATATATATATATATATATATATATGTATTTATACATACATACATATATATATATGCATATATATATGTATTTATACATACATACATATATATATATGCATATATATATGTATTTATACATACATACATATATATATATGTGTGTATATATGTTTTTATTTATATATATGTATATACATGTTTTTGTTTATATATATGTATATATATTCACCTTTCGAAATGCGTTAGTTCTTTGAAAACCACGTTTGCACGTTGTATGCAATTATAATGCGAGCATATCTCGAGCATGACGACGATTTTTCCACTGTACTACGACTGATAAAATTGCACCGTTATTATGCGCTTCTCTTGTGCAACGCTAAAAAAAAAATTCTTTTTTGGATGCTTCTGCTTCTGATTCTTCTGTTTTTTTTTTCTTTATCTCTTCTTCTTCTTCCTTTCGCTCTGTTTATCCGGAAGAAAGAAAAGATAAATATATATATATATATATATATATATATATATATATATATATATATATATATAATCTTTAAATGTGTAAATTTAAAACGAGAATAAAACAAAAAAAGTGCAGATTATTTGTATCGTGTGTACATGATGCGTACGTTAATCAAAAAAAAAAAGAAAAAGAAAAGAAAAGAATGGAAGAGAAGAGAAAAGGAAGAAAAAGAAGAAGAAAAAGAAGAAGAAGAAGAAAAAGAAAAGAAAATCAAATAAATTTACCGTTAATCAACGGTTAATATATTATCTGTATAGACAGAACCATTCGACGATCCAATCGCTTACAAAGGTGAAGTAATCGTCGGCTTGAAGTTCGTACCACCTGATCCCGCACAACAACAGGAACGTGAGCTGGGCTCCGATCACAAGGGTGCTTCGAAATCGAGAAAGAATTGGAGTCGTGGTGCTTTGCACGTTCTTGTTAAAGAGGCCAGAAATTTGCAAACGAGAGCTAAGAATTCAGGGACCTGTGATCCATTTTGCAAAAGGTAATATTATCGTGTTTTCTTTTCATTTTATTTCTTCTTTTATTTTTATTTTTTCTTTTTTTTTATTTTATTTTATCTACCTGTTTCCTTCATTTCAATTCGTATTCTAATAAATCAACGACTTTGTTGATATTACTAAAGGTCACCTTTGAAGTGACAAAAAAAAAAATAAAACAAAACAAAAATGTACACATACACACACACACGCACGCGCATACATACACACACACACACACACACATATCATATAAATATTTTGATTCGTCTTCTTAGTTACCTGCTACCAGACAAAGGTCGATCGGGTAAACAAAAAACTGGTGTAGTTCGTCGTTCAGGTGGTTCACCAGTTTGGGGTCATACATTTGTCTACAAGGATGTAAGTTTGCAAGAATTAGCCGAGCGTGGACTCGAATTAACTGTGTGGGATCATGATCGTATCGCCAGCAATGAATTTTTAGGAGGCGTACGTTTCAACCTTGGTACAGGTACGTTACACACGCATACATATTGTCAATATTTATTCGACGAGTTTGTATATAGAAAAAAAAAAAATATAATAATAACAAAATAACAAAATAAATGAATAAATAAATAAACAAATCAATAATTCGATTAATAATATTTTCAATTACGTAGGAAAGCATTACGGGAAGGCGGTAGATTGGATGGACGCTACCGGACGTGAATTGTCTCTTTGGCAAAGTATGCTCGAGAGGCCTAACTTTTGGGTAGAAGGTGCTGTTACCTTGAGGCCAAATCTACATAATCACGGGAAATCTAATAACGGCTCTTAAAAGCCAATTTCATCATCGAAACAATTAGAATATCGAAGTTATATCTATGTATGTATTAGACGTGCTCACGCGAAATCAATTCGTTTAACATATTCGATTTAATCATGGACTAATTACAAATTTCTTCTTAGTTTTAGCTAATCAGTCAGTGTAAATAGATTAAGCGAGATTAATCGGTCTCGTTCTCGATGATAGATAATCAGTGCCTTTCGGAAAAATGAAGAGAGAAAAAAAAAAAAGAAAAAAGAAAAAAGAACAAAAAAATACGGAAAAAAAGAATCCTCCGTTTCCCCTCCTCCTTCTTGGAAAAAAAAAGGAAAAAGAAAAAAGGAAAAAAAGAAGCAATGAAAAAAAGGAAAGATAGACGCTTATACACACCTAATCACGTTCTCTCCAGTTGCGAAAAGTTTCAAGAAGAGGAAAAAGAAAAAAGAAGAACGACAAT